CCCCAAAACCCCAAAACCCCAAAACCCCAAAACCCCAAAACCCCGTTTTAGGTTGGCGAAGTTGATTTTTATATAAAGTTGTTTATTACACTAAAATTCGGTATTTGAGAAGAGAACATGAATCGGATTATATATTTTTGGATTTTGGGGTTTTAATGCTGGTGGGGTTCGAGATTGGACAATTCAGTCATCTTCGGGCCCTTATCTGGGGGGTTATAGAAGGTATTTTATACCCTTTGGAGCTTTTATAATAGTTAGGGTAACATTAAGTAAAATTAGCCTGAAAGTTAGTAATTTTGTGATATTACTGCTGTGAGGATTGTTTCAAGCCCAGCTCCACCACTATCCTTCACTTATAATCCATAAATTTTAATGTTTCCAGTCAAGACACCTTAAAATTCACTTAAACCTTTAATAAACTTCTAGGGAAATTTTAGAATTTTGTTTCAAAGCTGTCTAAATTTTCCTCTTTAAAACAGAGAGAATCGAAAATATAGGTTCCCCAAAATGTGTTAGAGAAAGCTTAGTTAGATTATTTGCCAGTAAATCAAAATGGAAGTTAAATTAACTTTTAGAGGAGCTTTAGCCATTTCTCACGATTAGTTGACCATCGCTATAGAAGTATACTATTCAGGCTTTCTGATCGAAATCTGGGTGAAGAAAGAGCATGGGACTTACCTCTATTGATCTTTTCAAGATTGGACAAATCTTAATAAAGGGTCCATCCAGCTCAGATGCTTCAGAGTAGGCATTACGCTCTGAAGGAGTTAGGCTGGGTTTGACCATGGTCACATCTTGAAATTAAGCAGTTCTAGAAAGGTGAAATGGTTTAAGCATTTTGTGTGAACGCTTAATTGCACATAAAGAAATGTGCGAGTCTCAGATTTATTCTGGACCACAAAGGAACTCCTCCTCAAAGCATATCTATGAAGGCTTAATCTTTGAAATTTTTCTCCAAAATTACTCGTATAAATATTTCGGAATAAATCTGAAGATTCTGATAGAATCTTCCAATTTACAAGTGGATAATACCCAAAATTAGTGGAAGGATTATAAGCTTAGTGCTCATCCTAAAAATTTAAAGAATAACTTCTTCTGACTATAGATCTCTAAACACTGAGTTTTCGAACCTCAGGAGCCTTTTTGAATGAGAATATGACTTTAAAGGTTGAACCTGGTATCAAAGCGGTCTAAATTCCATTAAGCAGTTTACATCGTTAGTATTATGGAGAATCATAGTTAGTAACTAATTTACACTTCCTGCTTAAATGGTTTAGGCCTCCAACTTTACAAGAATAACACACTTCTGGAAGAATTTTAAGCAGACTAGAGGAAAGTGTGAAAGAATTTATAAACTAACCTTAATTACTTGATCTTAGGAATAATTTATATATAATTTCAGTGAAATATTATATTTGGGGTTTTGGGGTTTTGGGGTTTTGGGGTTTTGGGGTTTTGGGGTTTTGGG